CTTGCAGCTTACCTGCCGGTGTGCGGGGCTGTCACTGGGTGGAGGTGGCCCCTTGGTGTCACAGCCTGCTGCACGCAGTTGGTTGGACCAAGCAACGCAGTGCTCACTGTGACCTGGGGTGTGTGGGGCAGGATTCATGTCATGGAAGCACAGGAGGTCTAACGTCTCTTCTTCTTTGTCTCGGTGGTGGCCCAGCAGCTATTCTGAGGAGGACGCAGTGCCAAAGGACACGGCTTTCCTTCTGGAGCGAGTGACACTCTCAGTGCCATCCTCTGGCAAGCTGCTCATTAAAGACCTGAGCCTCAAGATCTCACAAGGAGACAGCGTGATGATCGTGGGGAACACTGGCACAGGGAAAACATCTCTCCTGAGGGTGCTCGGGGGACTCTGGGAAAGCACACGGGGTAAGGACTGTGGGTCTCCGTATCCTTCTCTTCTTCAACGAGGGCTGTCCTAGCTGAGTTTAGAAGGTAGCAACAAGAATTTGCAAGACGAATGCCACTTGTGATATTAAACGTGTCACCATTTGAACTGTCCCTTCTCTGGATCACAAACTTCTCTGCGGCTCTCATCGCTTTGCTCCGTGCTGCCCATCTGCCTTTTCTGGGATGCGAAGGCGAATCCATGGCGGCAGCGAGGAGTTCCTAGCAGGCGCTGCAGGCTTAGCATGCATGTGTCTCTGTGCAGGGAGCATCCAGATGCTGACCTGCTTTGGCCCCCACGGAGTGCTGTTCCTGCCGCAGCGGCCGTTCTTCACCGATGGCAGCCTGCGTGAGCAGGTGAGCCCTGGGCCAGCTGGCCCCAGCCCTGCAGGGCTCTTACTGTGCCTCTGCAAACCCGCGTGCAGCAGGAAGGCCTGCAAAGGGAGGATGCGTGCGGCTGCTCCTTCCCTTTTGGCTGACTTTGTGCCACCACCGCTGTGTTTCGGATGGGCCATGTCCAGCTCTCTCTGACATGGCTTCTGTTGGTCTGTTCGACAGGTGATCTACCCCCTGAAGGAGATCTACCCAGTGTCAGGTACGTGGAAATTCATCGCAGCAATTAGCCTACCCTGTGGTTTCAGCTCTCTGTTCTGTGCCCAGTGCAGCTTCTCCTCTCCCATGCCCCATCAGGAATGCTGTTTCACTTCTGTTGCACTCTGCTTTTCCCTGCAAGATTTGCTCAGCATTCTCTTGCTTTCAAGAAGAATGCTTTCTCTTGATGCAGTGAGGACAGGCTGGCTGTGCTCTGCATGTTGTACTATGATCCGTGCTGAGACACCCTGCTGCTTTCTAAACTTGCTGCTGGGATTCGTCTGATCCATCTGGTACAACCTGCGTATGGGAAGCCGTGTTTGCCTTTATCTCAGCTTCCATGTACCATGTACCACTGTCCATCTGTGACACACCAGGACCCAGTATAGATAAGTGGTTGAGTCAGCTCCAGCGGACCTCAGGAGTTTCTCCAAACCTTCCCTGCTGCCCCACGGCCTCCTCCTTGCAGCTGCGGTCTCAGCAGACACGTCCTGTATTTAATCACTTTCTCCCCCAGGGCCTGCAGATGATGAGAGGATCGTGCGATTCCTGGAGCTGGCCGGGCTGGTGAGTCCCTGGTGGCGCTGCTGCTGGAGAGGGATGAAGGGATGAGGGATGAGGTGCTGTGGCAGCACGGCACGACCATGGGCTGGACACACGCAGGGGACTGGGCTGTAGCTGGGACAGGACTGTCCATGGGAACAGGCAGAGGAGGAGGGGTATGGAGCAACTTCGGACCAAGCAGGAGAAGACTGGGTAGCAGGAAGGGGATGATTGTACACAGGGCTGCGTCCCTGGGGGGCTGGCAGGGCTGGGGCAGTGTTCACACATCTGCTGTGCTCTCTGCAGGCTGATCTGCTGGAAAGGGCTGGAGGACTGGATGAGCAGGTGGACTGGAACTGGTAAGGCAGCTCACTGGGGGAATTTGGATGATCCCTCTGGTTGGGGAACGCTTCTAAGCAGCTGCACATTGCTGCTGGACTGAGGAGCATCTGTGTCCACCTGTGTCTTGTGAGAGGTGGGCTGTGCAGGGCTGAAAGGTTCCTGCCCCAAGCATCAATACAACATCAGCAGCCATGCTCTCTGCAGGAAACTGATTGCACAGTGGAGGGGGAGCACTGGGTGCACACAGGGCCAGTCGTTTGCTGGGGTCTCCAGTATCAGCAACCACAAGCTCTTTGGCAAACAAGCTCTCTTTGTTAAGGGAGATTTTTGAATCTCGACCCTGCTGCAGGTATGACATCCTGTCCCCAGGGGAGATGCAGAGGCTCTCATTTGCACGTCTCTTCTACCTCCAGCCAAGATATGCAGGTGAGTGAGCAACTGCAGAAGAAGAAAGGCAGTGCCTTCGGCACAAACAGAAGCTGGTACAGAGGCAGCTCGGGAGCATGCTCGGTCTTAGTGATGATTTTAGGCAGCACACGCAGGATTCAGAGGTGAAAATATTTCACTATCTTTGTGGCAGGGGGTAAATGAAGAGGTTTTGTGTAAAACCTCGTGTTCTTAGGGAAATATTAATGAGTGTTCGTGGTCCAGGTGTAATTACACCTGAGAGAGCACCCTCTCAGCCTGCTCAACAGCTGCCATGTAAAGAAGCAGGTGTGCTAGTGAGCACAAGCACAGTGTCAGCTGCCCTGTGTGCAGCTCACCAGCCTCCGTGGGGCTGTGGAAATGATGTGCCCTTGGGAACAGCTATAACACGGCAAAAGAGGACAAGAAGTGGTAGAAGAAACACTGCTGAGAGATCACAGAGGCAGCTCACGTTTGCAGTTTGGTCTAATTGCTTTGCACATTTAGATGGCTGGGGGGCTACTGGAGGAGTTATCAGAGGGGCCAGGGTAGATGTGTGTGCACAGAGCCAGGGTCAGTAGCAGGGAGCCACATTTAAATACATGTACCTCTCATCTCCTGAAGCTTGCAGCACTGTTCTGTGCTATCTGGTCAGAAGGAACCTGAGGACTGTCAACTAAGAGCTGTAGAGATGATGTAAAACAAATTGCATTCATTTGCTCCAGGCCAGTAGTATTTGCTTTTAGCTGTCAGGAAGCCACGCCAGGCCATCCTGGCTGCTGCACCTGGGCTCTTGGCCAGGGAGGTGACGAGGCTGCTGTTCAGCCAGGCGCTCTGGCACGCAGCCCGTCTTGGGAAGGTCACGGCTTAGATTTCACAGTGGTGAGAACAGGGCAGTGGCTGGCAGCTTTTGAGGGAAAGGAATGAGGTGAACAGGGCTGTTTGAGTGGATTTAAGGGCTTGTGGGGAAGGGCAGCCTTCCCACTTGGCTGGCAGCAGCTGTACCAGAGTAAAGTCAAGGTCCTTAGGCTTCTTGCTTGCTCTTGGTGAGCTCCACTTAACATGTGAAATATCCCGAGCAGTCACTGCTCGTTTGCCAAGGGGGAGAGGACAAGCTGGGAGAGGAGGGATGTGTGGGGCTTACGGCTTGTCTCTCAGTGCTAGATGAAGCCACCAGTGCCCTGACAGAAGAGGTGGAGCATGAGCTGTACCGTGTGTGCCTTCAGCTGGGCATGACGCTGGTCAGCGTGGGACACAGGCCCAGCCTGGAGAAGGTGAGGAGGGGAGTTGGCGTTACAGGCCTCTCTGCTGGTGGCAAGGAGGGAGGCAGAGAGGGTGCCTGGTGAGCAGAGGGGAATGGCTGAGGCTGCAGAGCCTTGCTGTGGGAGAACACGCCCTCAACAGGAACATCCCTCAGTTGTTGTGTCGTTGAATTGCAGTTCCACAGCTGGATTTTGAAGCTTCACGGCGAAGGAAGATGGGAACTCATGCGATGTGAGAGGATGAAGCGGCTCCCGTCTGAGGAAGGGTGCTGATAAACATGCCTGAGTCTGCACAGCTGCAGAACCTGCGCACCCCTGGGAGAGCTCTGAAGAGCAGACTGGGAGTGCGGAGCCAGCAGCTGCCAACAAGGCATTCGTTTGGTGCAAAACCAGTTACAGATTTTGCTGATGGATGTCCAGCCAAGTCTGAACTTCACGGGGGAAGGGGCTGAGCTGCTGTGCTGCTGCAAAAGACAACACTGCCTCATGGGTTTTGTATAAGCCATGGGCAGAGGAACCTCCCCTCACCCAGGATGCAGCAGTGCAAGGATGGGATGCAACCTGATGTTGTGCTGTCTTTGCCTCTCTGGGACCTCTGCCTCTGGTGTACAGCTCTGCAGAACGGGCTTCTGTAGCTCTGGTTCTACCAAAAGGGATTCTGAGCTGCTGGCTCCCCAGGCAGTTAAGGGATGCATTGTAATGGGAGGAGGAGGCCGGCACAGAAAAGGACATGGCTCTCCTCTCCTTAAGACACAGGGTTAAGGTTCAAATAAACATTTTTGTATTAAAATCTAGGGTCTGTTATCCATGTTCCTGGAGAAGAATCCGTTTGTGTTATCCAGGCTTCTGCCTCTTCTGCTTTTTTTCTTTCTGCTTTAGGAGAGATGACTGTGTGTTGGCAGTGCTCTTGGACTAGACTAGTGGTGAAGAGCAGAGCAGGGGTAGGGCTGCATGCACTCTGCTGGGGTGATGCCATGGTGGCAGGCTCACAGCACACAACCTCCTCCTTCCCCTGCCTCTGCGCCTCCTCTCCCCTTGCTCCCAAGTCCCAACTCCCTCGCCTTGCTGAGCTGGCAACTGCTCTCTGTCAGAGCAGGCCCGCTGAGTAAGAGGTGGCTATTTTTACACAGCCACTTTTCTGACCAGCACAGAAGCCTTCCAGGAAGCCTTCCAAGCATGAATTGCTTTCAGATCTGATCAGCAAAGGCTGTGCGCTGCCTGCCTGACAGTATCGGTGCTGCAGGAGGAGCCACCAGTTACTGACCAGCAGATGCTCCTGGGTTTGTCTGCAGCTCCAGCCACTGCTGCTGCAGGACAATGTCCCCTCATCATGCACCATCCCTGCACTCACCAGGTTTGGGAAATGTCCCATGCCTCCCTGTGGTGCATGGTCTGGCATTCAGCACCTGGAAGCTTCATGGGGAGTCGTCTTTGATCAGAGTACTACTGCCTCCCCTGTGGAGCTATGGAGGCCCCATAGCTGCAGGACGGACCAACAGCACTAAGAGGTCTCATGTTCTCTTTGCTCTTTGTGGTAATTCCCCAGGTATGCCTTGCCCTCTAACTGATCAGGGAGAGCAGCACCTGAGCCTCATCTTCTCCACATCTGTGTGGGCAGGAAGATGTTGGTCTCTCTGTGCTGCTTTGGAGCTCACTGAAATGCTTTCTGGCTAAGGTCTGACACCCAACCCCTTCTCCTCTTTGGCTGAATTCATCTTCCTTGAAGAAGTAACCAGACTCATACACAGTATTCCAGTTTAGTTTTATTCTCGTTCATATCTTTACAGAAAATGGCACATAAATCACAGGTTCTGAATGACTAGAAGTTGTTACAGCTCCATATCTCAAACACCTCAATACTGAATTCTTTTCTCACTGTATATACATTATTTACACACCGCGGGCTATAATCTAACACCTTGAACTTTGAACAAACTGGGGACAAAGACAGATGGGGGCTGTATGAAGGGGGTCAATTTTGACAGAATAAAAACAGTAGCTCTGGGGAGAGGGTGCTGGCAGCTGAAAGCGGGGCAGAGAGGGCTGTGTGGAAGTGACTGTCCTACATCCTCCTTGGGGAACACAGCCTGACCGGGATGGAAGGGTGATGGTAACATGGGGCACTGCAAAAAACAGCGGGTTTGGCTGCGTGGGTCTGTGTGTGCACGTGTGGGGTCAGCGAGGAGACTTATGTACACATTACAGCATGTGTCAGGGGCGTATCTGCATGGCTGTCGTTCCCTTTAGCGCTCAGAGGGCAAGCGGGGCAAATTCAATTCCATAAATAAGTTTGGCAAATGTTGTTGCATCTCCTGGAATAATTTAAGCGGTAAATGTTTCCCCTGGCATTCGACCTCTCTGCAGTGGAGGCTCTGGCCTTCGGGACACAGACACATTTAGCCGTCTCTGCCAGCCTTGCGGGAGCAGCCTGCCCCTAGCGTGTTTTACAGCCAGGGCTGCAGGCATTGCTGTGCAGCGAGGTAGAAGCTGCAGGGATGGTGCCTGGCCCTGCAGCCCGAGGGATGCTGAGCTAAATAGCGTGGCACCGGCCTCCAGAGCCCACCACCGTGATGGCTTCAGCCCCTGAGTGTGTGTGGAGGAGACGACGGTGTGGGCCGGGGTGACCTGGAGGTGCAAGGTGTGAATGGGACATCAGGTCTGTGGGCAAAGCCTGTGTCTCCCCTCATAAAGGAGGCAAAAATCAACTGCCCCAAACCCACAGCCCCTGGTGCTGGGGGCCGCAGGCTCGTCCCTGCCACAGGCAGGGCTGGGGCAGCGGGTGATGGCCGGGTTGTGGGGCACAGCAGCAACACGGGGCAGGAGGAGGAGCTGAACCAGGCTGAGCCAGCCTGGAGGAGCCTGGATGGGGCCTGGGGCTGGAGCCACTGGTCCCCCCTGGGGTGGCGATGGAGATGAGGAAGGGGCAGGGGTGAGGGAGGCCCTGGGGGCAGAGGAGCGAGGGGCAGGGCTGCACTCCAGGGGAGTGCCCCTTGGGGCTGCCCCATGCACAGAGGCCGGGCCCCATGCCCCAAAAGGGGGCAGCAGGGGGGGGCCTGGCCAGCTTCAGCCCCTGGAGGACACAGTGTCTGTCGGGGCTGTCTCCTGCTGCCTCTGCCCCCCCTAGATCAGCTTCTCCTCCTTCTGCGACACGCTGGACTTCTCCGTCTGCCTCTCGTCCTCCGCCGCCTCCTCCCCTTTCTCTGGCTTCCTGGGGGTGTCCCCAGCGATGGTCCCCAGGACTTTGGTGCTGTGCTCCTGAGCTTTGGCCCTGAGGGCGGCAATGCTGTTTTCTCTCAGTTCCTCCTGGGAAATGGCGGTTTTGGGATCTGGGCCCCTCTCTTCCTTGTCACCCTTGTCAAGCTTGGGCAGGGCCTGGCGCTCCACCTCCGTCTTCCTCCCCGCCTCAGCCGCTGCTTCCAGAGACTTTTTGTGCATCCCTAAAAAGAATTGTTGGTATTCGGGTTTAGAAAAGCGCCTGGGCATGGGAAAGCCATCTTGAACTGAAAACAGCAAAGATAAAGAGAGGCCAGAATTAAGGAAAAGCAGAAACCCTTGCTTCAAACAGCAGTCATGGCGAGCCGGGCGCTTTGGCCCCGTGCAAGGGCAACCCCGATTCTGTGGGGACGAGGGTCTCAGACACAGTGGGTGCCTGCACCCCAGGGCCATTCGCTTACTGGGACCAGGGGAGGTCTCCCGTTGCCTTTCCCTATCAGTTTGTTCCTCCCACAACCCACCTCCTGCCTCCCCCAGCTTCACACAGACAGGAGAGGACAGCCCATCGTTAGGACACCAGAATTCAGTTTTGGGGCAGAATCAGCCTGAAAGGTCAGAAAGCGGGAAGCAAAGAGCAAGAGCATGGCAGGGCAGCCCCACTACATCCACCACCCCTTCTCCACAGAAAAGGAAGCAAAAGCAGGCGGTGGTGCAGCTCTCCTGAGTGCCAAGAGCATGAGGAGGGACCGTGGGGGCCCTCAGGGGAAGGGGAGGGGGACAAGGGTGAGGACAGGGGCTCCTGGCACCCCACACAGCCTCACAGGGACCCCAAGCAAGATAGGGCATTCATCCCCTTGCTTGTCCCAAGAGCTCACCCTCTCCCCGCAGGCACCAGCAGGCATTTGGGGCTAGCTGGTGAGCGGTGTCACAGGGCGAGTCCCCCCCGTGCTTGATGCTCTCCTGCATTGGGTTTCCTCCTCATGGCCCCCCTTCACCTCGACCCCCTCGCCAGCCCACCCGTGAGGGCAGCGGCTCTCTTACCCAGGAGCCAGGGTGCGCAGGACTCCATGATGCCATCCTTGGCCGACTTGAGGATGGACTCGGGCAGCGGGATGGAGTGGCGCACCATGGCGCCGTAGAGCCCGTACTCGGCCATCACGCTGCTCCGGCCCCAGCACTTCTCCCGCTTCCTCCACTTGGCCCGGCGGTTCTGGAACCAAACCTGGGGTGGGCGACATGCAGGGACGTGGGTGATGGGAGCAGGTGGGACAGTCCCATTCCTGCACACACACACGTGCCTGTGCACGGGGATGAAGAAGGGTGCACGTACATCCTCCTGAGAGCACCGTGGCTTTTCCCCCGTGCAGCAGCTGCCGGGTATTTCTCTCCTCACCCTCCCTTGCAGAAGCGACGAGGGCCAAGCCTGCGAGCAGGTCCCACCTCTCCCTGCAGGATGTAATTAATTTGCCATTGCGGTGTCTTTTTCCAATGGCTTTTGGCTCTCGTGCCTGGGATTTTCTTTCATTATTTACCGGGTGCCTGAGCCGCAGCGAGGGGCTGTGCGCCGCGGTGCCTGCGGGGAGGGCTGGGCCGGGGGGCACGCTCTGGGGAGGAGGGAGAAGGGGGAGCTGATCCACACGGCTCGCCCTGAATTCCCAGTTTGAAAAGCCCCTCATCTTCTCAGAAAATTGGCAGAATAATCTCCGAGCTGTGACCTGGGGGGCAGCGAGCGGAGACGCAGGCGGCGGTGGGGGGGTGCTCGCAGAAATCTATTAGCGCTCGCTCTCCGATTTCCATCCCTCTTGTCTTGCCTGCCCTCCTCCCTCCCCACATCCCCTCCCTTCCTGCAGAGCAGAGGCATCAGCTTTAGATGAAAAATTGCTCGAGGTCTATTCAGAAGGAGGCAAAGGAAGAGTCAGCCCCAGGGGCAGCCCAGGCCTGATTGAAAAATAAGTTAATTTCAGTTTGAATCGATGGGCCTCAGGCACTGAAATATCACGGGAAATTAAAGCAGCTGGTCCCCGGGGAACCACGCCATTGACCTGCGCTAATTAATGCCATGGAGTTACCAGTCCCCTCTCCAAGAGGCAGCCCCTCCCTCCCCGCGGACACCCCAAACACCTCCTCATTTAACTAATTAGACTCACAGAAAATTGGGTGATAATTTGTTTAGGATTTTTTTTTTCTCCTATTTTTTCCCTCCCTTTCCCGGAAAGTACACGGCAGAATGGAAATGAATGGTGGGGTCTCGCTGGCAGATGGATGCTCGGGGTCACTCCGCAATCTTCTCCGACTTGATTGCTTGATTAGGTCGTTAGCACATTAAAAAAAAAAATTGCTTGCCGTCTGGCGCTGGCCTGATGAGTGGGATGAGGCGGGAATCGCCTGGGTAATTTATCTTTTTATACTGCAAAGAATTTGATTTCAATCTGCAGATATATGGAGGTGCCTTTGACACCTGTTTAACATTACGGAGCTGACAGCTTAACCCTCTCTTGCCTCCGCCACCCAGAGCTGGGGGGGAGCACGGGCTGCAGGGGGGAGCACCAGGGGGCTTAGGTAGGGCCTGGGACCCCCAGCTCTGCCGTGGGGACCACAAGATCAGTGCCTCACTGCAACCTCACCACGGAGCCAGGCCCCTTTGGTGTAGAGCAAGCTCTCTTCTTCTGCCTGCCACCCCAGCACTGTTGTGATGGGGACAATCTGTCTCCCCAGGGGAGTGGGGACGTGGTTCCTGGGGCTGTGATCCCACCTCTCCTGGCAGAAGACACGCTGTGCACGGCAGAGGGGATGTTACAGCCAGGCTGCTTCCTGAAACATGACATGCTGGCACCTCCTCTGCATGAAAAGCAAACTCACTTACTTCTTCCTTCTGCCGATAGACAACCCCCTGGACCACTGATGGCTGCAAGTGCAGCAAGACCAGAGCAAGGCCCCTCAGGTGGGCTCAGCGTCCCCTCTCCAACCATTTCTGTGGCCAGATCCAACGCAGGGTGCCTGCACAATGCACGGGTTTGTGGCACAGTCCCTTGCTCCAGGCTGTGCACTCCTCCTGATCTCAGTCTCAGTGCCAGGCTGGCAGAGCTGGAGGGGACTGGGTCACTCCCTCTCCATCCTGGGTGTCCTCTTGCCACCACACCTGGATTTTCAGCCAGGCAAAGCTTTTTCCATCAGTTACCAACTGGGCCACTTTTTAAACAAACCTCAGTCATTTTACCCAGGTGCCTCCTCACTGATATCTTCATCACCTCTCCCTTCTCCCTTCCTCCTGTCTTGACACCCCAAATATCTTACTCCATGTCCTATGCCCCCTGTCCTCCTCCCCAGATGGGTTTCAGCCATGTCACAGCAGTAGTTTCTCCCACTACTGCCTCTAAACCTGCTATCCCAGAGCATCCCTTTTCCCACAGCGTGGACAAACAAATGCAGCCAGCAGCCCAATTTTGACTGGAACTTGGGGGGGGAAAAAATATGTCAAAAAATGCTGATACAATCACATGGAAAAGCTGAGCCTGGCCAGAGGAAGCATAATCAAAATTATCTATAGCTTTCTTCTCAATGTTGTATTTAAATCTCATCCACATAACATGTAAAATCTATGCTACAAAGCCAAATGAGTAAATCAAAATGACATCAACACCTCAGGAAGATCATTCTGAGATTTCCCAAATCGATTTTTGAGATTTGAGGGGAATTTCCTCATGGTTTTGACTGGGAAAAAAATACCATAAATAAATAAATAAATAAAAACACTTTGAAATAGCAGAATTTCTAGCATAACAGGAATGAGGAGGGCTGCCCACCTTGTTTTGACACCAGTGCCCATATCTCAACCTCAGGCATGAACTGGAGTGAAACTGGTGGTGCTCAATATTGAATATTACTGGGGTCAGGACCAAAACCAGCATCTCTACCACCATCCCATTCCAAGCACCTGCAGCCCCCAAACTATTTTGTATGGGCAATTTTATTCTCTGGGGCCCATTCTTGGGATTTTGCCCTCATTAAAATGGCTCCATCAGTAGCAATTCCTTCTGAGAAATCTTATTTTTTTCTTTGGATTTCTTGACATGTTACCAACATTTTCCTGTTCCTTGATTCTGGGAATAATTATGGAACAGTGTAAGTAGTTCTGAGGTATTTTTGGCAGTGTTGGTGCATCAGTAACAACGTCTGAAAATGCAGTTATTGATTATTGACTTCTCACGTTTCCTTCCTTGATTGGAGATGGTTTCACTTCCATTTACTTGCAGTTTTGGGATTGTGTCTTCTTTGGCTGCAGTTGTCTTTGTTTTCACGTATTTGTTCTACAACTTCGTGATGTAAAATTTGGTCTGCCTCAAGCAATGTTTGGATTTGTCCATGTTTGGACTTGCTCCTTCCCCCCACATGGGTCAGATCAGCTTATTTACCACACAGCTTTCTTCTCACTTGCTTTCCTCTGGTTCTCCATGGTACATCACAGGGTATGGTGAAAGGATTGAGTTTGCACTTCCACACTTCACGAGCAGTAGCTGAAACCCATTACTAATTTCAGACTGCGTTTACTGAAGCACATCTGATGTTTTTGCAAAGCTGTCGCAGTTTGATGAGCAAAGGTGTCTTTTGGACCAACATTCTATAGCTTAAGGTGATTTACATCTTTTTATTACCACAAAAGAACCTCTGTGAAAGATGGGAAGCTTATTCCAGAAACCCTATCCTCAGAAACAGAACATTAAAGAGGGCAGATCTGTCTTGGTGTTGCAAGGCAGTGACCAGAAAACCTAAGAACCAGCCCCTTTAAATACATCAGTTTAAATACATGGAGCTGAATGAGAAGAAGCAGCATTTCTGTGGCATAAGGAAGAAAAAAGGATTAAAAAGCACTTGAATTAGAGAAGGATGTGCAAAGAGGCACTGCAGGATTTTGTAGGGTAAGGATGAACGCTAGAGGGAGCGAAGGGGCAGAGATAGCAATGGGTGGAGATGAGCAAGGCATGGAAGGAAAGAGAAGCTGGCCAGGCTCCAGAGGAAGCTAATGCAGCATCTTGAGCAGGAGGGTAAACTGATCAGTGCTTCCCTTTAGGTCCTCTCCATCTACACAGAGTGCTCAGGGGAGCTTCCTCGCCCCAACTGAAGCCCTCATGCTCAGCACTCGTTTCCTTTCCTGGTCTGGACATCCAGCCGTGTTTAGCTGGTCAGTACTGGAGACTGTAAGACTCCTCTTTCATCACTGTTTGCAGTCAGTTTAACTTCTCTGTCTCATCTCTTGTCTTTCCTGTTCTCTTTAGAAAAGGACCTGGCCCTGCTTCCTGCCTGTCCCTCATTAGGCCAGAAAGTGGTGCAATTCACTGACATAGGACTGGTATTTTCCATGGTCAGTGCTCATAAAACTTTTATCTCTGCCAATTGCTACCAGCAGTACAGCCGTTCCCATCCCATTGCTGTGACACCATCCCGATGAGACATTTTCTTCGCCACAGGACACATTAGTATCAGGGTTTGGCCCATGTGGGCACACTTGCTGTAGCAAATGCCAGCACCTTCAGCATCATCCGGATGCTTGTTCCACGTGCCTGTCCTCCTCTGACCCCTTACCAAAACCAGCAGTACTGGAAAGTCTGGGAATGTTTCCAATCCTAATCCTCATCTAATTCTCATCTCCAGTGTCCACTGCCCAAGACAATCTCATCTCAGGCACTGTGCACTGCACGGCAGGGTTACAGCACCTTGGAGTAAAGACTAGGAAGGTTATTCTTTCCAGGCTCCTCCTCTGAATCCCAAATGATGACTGATACTCCTTCGTATTATTGATGGTGCAGAGGAGCAAATTGTGGTAGGAGGAATCTCTCATTTTGCAGAGGGACATGAGGCTCGGTGTGTCCTTGTTGTCCGCATTCATCATATTAGTTAGTTTACCTAATCAGCTCCTGAAACACTGTCTGCTAAAGAAGGAAATCTGCCTGAGGCTAGCCACGAACCAGGAATCTCAATCAGCAAAGGGATATTTTAAGGTATCTGGTGTGTGTCTCTGTACTGCTTCTGTGCCCAAGCACAACCTAAATTTTTTATTGGTTACGCTCATTTTCTCTCATTTTCTTGGCTTTTGCTTTCCAAGCTGGGAAACACAGCCAGGGGAGCTGGAAGTGGCTATGGCTGTGTTTTGTCTTTCTATCAACAACGACAAAGAAGTTAATATTGCTTCATTCCTCATCCTTTAAAGGACAATACCAGGCTACA